GATGTTGCTATATTTGCAAAAAATGCTTTCATTGCGCTTAAAATTAAGTTTCATCTATTTTGAAGATCGTTTGTAACAAAAAATTATGGTTTTATATGTTTTCAAGGTATAATTGCCAAAGTTGCAGTCAGCTCCAGTTAAAATTTGCATATTTCTTAACTTGGTATCTGATAAACATGTTACTATACGAAATAGAGCGGACTCTAATGGGCTTCATTTAAACTCTCTTTGAATTTACTAGATACGGAAAAACATCAATCACATATTATTGTTATCGTATAGTGTAATGTGCCTAGTAACAAGTAGTTAATAAGAAGAACACATAACTTCGACTCCGCAATTTATTTTGTCAAATCTCAACACATCATTTTAAAGCGATTATTTGACTATACGCTTTTTATGGACGTTTACCAGGTTTTTTGGTTTCTGAACCATGCCTATCTCCATCTCGATGCAGATGAAACTCAAGGAGTATTCTCCCTCAAGTCACAACATTATTTCTATAACAATATTCACGTCTCGAAGTAAAAGCAATAATCAAGTCTGTCCCGTTCTTGTTCAGACCAATTACATAGGTTGTTTCTCCGTGATAATAGACATAAACAATAAGAATAGTTATCATGATCATGCATACCATACGATTATTAACTAAGTACTTGAGTATTTACATCAAAGTGAGATTCACAGCAGGACAATGATGATATTTCCGAAAGAGACAATTCTAGTTCTTCTATGCTTTGGCACAGAATAAAAATATTTTTTTGGGAGTTATACGCTTGTAGTTGTACACTTAGGTACAATACAGTCCTTCTAAGTTAAAGCTCTAAATCGCAAATACAGAACAAAGGGTGTAAATAGCGCGAAGGATCCGTGGCAAGCCTATCGTTCTGTCTGGTGTAATGTGACGTCGTCACTCAATAACACTCTTCAGCAAGGTAATTCTCCAAATAAGAAACTTTTGGGTAGCATATCCTTGCCATTCTTTGAGGTATTCAAATAAATGTTCCAGTACTGTACTTCACTGTACTTAGACCTTTATGTTAAGTGTTTTAAGAACATGAAGCTCGGTCATTGACATCACATGATTTTAATTTAATTTGCAAAGCAAGTTATACTTGTCGGACTTTATTGTGTTCGATAATGAATCATAAAACGATTAGTGCGACTCCTAACTTATCTTTAACAATGGCTGTTACTGCCGGTATACACGAGGAAAATAACCCGATTAGCATTACGTTGATGTAAATGGAATAGTTTGCAGTATTGACGCGCAATAGTATGCACTATATGTATGTATGCACGACAATTGGCATTGTGGAAAACGGTCTTCAAAGCTTGCAAATGCTTATCGAAATGCGTCCCCGGTTCCAACGCAAATTTTTTATAGCGTGACAATTTAGCGTAACTGTTAAACAAAATATTTGTGCAGAGTAGAGCTGGGTCGGTCCTGAGCAAATTATTCCAAAGGAACGAGACCGCATTAGGAATCTAGGAATCGATTCCGGTAATTTTTACTCCGACTCCGATAGCGATTTCGGCGGTTTCTATTCCGATCCAATAGTTTCGAATCCGACAAATATAATTATAATATAATATAATTTTAATAAGAATACGAATACTCGCACTAACTTCTTAACCCCCCTCTGTTAGGTATCAATTTCACGTAATCGGTGCGCTAAAATTGAGCCTTACCGAAAGAACGATAATATGCGGATTAGTCAGTGGTATTTCAGAAGACCGCATCTAGTCGCTAAACACGTGGTCGTCGCGTGAAACTATTAGGTGGTCCCTTATGAGACCACCTCTGCATGACGAGCTAGCATAAATACTGTATTCGCGCAAATTCTTACACTGTGTTATTTTTTTGTGACTTACTGGTGATTACAATAGAAAATATTATAAAATTGTCATCTGCACTGTTGTTTTGAAATGTTATTCGGCTTACGAGTTATCGGAATATCATTCTGGCACTTTTCTTTCGGAATATGTATTCAAAAAGTAAATGGACATTTCAAGAGCTTCAGAAAGCGACGCAGGGGGAGCTTCTGCAGATAGTAGCAGATTGTGAGGCAATATCCGACGTTCAGGCTATAAATTCAGATCTTCATCTGAACAAACATTGGAAGCCAACCAAAGACAGATTTCAACTATAACACTGATCAACAGCCAAAAAATATCCTAAATAAAATCAACAAAATATTACTATCTTTAATGTGCTAAAACCGGGATGAAACTTATTTTTTCAATATTAGTTCAAGTTTTAGAGATACGGTAATTATATGTGTTCCTGCTGTGACAGTGTTAATATACTGTAATTCACAAGAATGCACGTGCTACATTTTTATATTCGGCAAGGAAGATGATGTAATCGGCATGATTGTGTTACGTTATACATACGTGTACATTATATTGTTTTATATTAGCCATTTTTTCCTCAGTTGGCTGACAGCATGTGTAAACAATCCAGATCAGTTTTGTTACGTGTGTGGTAATGTGAATTTTGCGTCTCAGAGACGGTCTATTACTCCACTAATAGCAAAGGCATATCAGCTTTATTTCGGTTGTAAACTAGGTGATCAAGACAAACAGTGGGCACCCCACATCTCCTGTAATACATGTGCTTCAAGTCTGAGGAGCTGGTTAAATGGCAAAAAACGGTCTATGCGCTTTGCTGTCCCAATGGTTTGGAGAGAGCTTACAAATCATATTAATGATTGTTACTTTTGCATGGTACCTTGTGTTGGACAAGCCACAGGTAAGTATGTCCAAGAAAAAAAATCGGTTATTAACTACCCAAACATACCATCTGCGATGAGACCTGGGCCTCACAGTGACGAAAATCCTATTCCAAAACCCCCAGAATCCTACACTTGCGAATCAGAAAACGAATCAGATCACGGCGATCGAGTGATTCGTCAGGAAGAAGATATGCCATCAACGTTAAGAGATCCTGATTTTATACCGAGCACGTCATGCCACCAACCGCACAAAATAACACAGTCAGAATTAAATGATCTTGTAAATGATTTAGAACTTCCAAAATGTAAGGCAGAGTTACTTGGATCAAGACTGCAGCAGTGGAACTTGTTAGAAGACGATGTTTCGGTATGTGTTTTTCGTAAACGCCACAAAGACATAGAACTATTTTTCAATATGGAGAATAACTTGGTTTTCTGCACTAACATTAACGGCTTACTGGTGGATTTAAATATAAACTATAACCCAGAAGAATGGAGATTGTTTATAGATAGTTCAACATTGAGTTTAAAGGCAGTGTTATTGCATATTGGAAATATTTTACCATCTCTTCCTGTAGGGTATGCAGTTCACATGAAAGAATCATATGACAATATGAAGTACCTATTGACATGCATAAAATACGATGAGCACCAATGGCATATTTGTGGCGATTTGAAAGTTGTTGCACTTTTACTTGGGCTGCAGCTAGGCTACACAAAGTTTTGCTGTTTTTTGTGTGAATGGGATAGTCGGGCAAAGGCACTTCATTACACCAGACAAAACTGGCCTGTTCGTCAATTCCTAGAGCCAGGTCAAAAAAATGTACAGCATATGCCATTAGTAGATTCGAAAAAAATTTTATTACCACCACTGCATATAGAATTGGGCCTAATGAAAAACTTTGTCAAGGCATTAGATAGAGATGGGTCAGCTTTTCAATACTTGCGTCAGAAATTTCCAAGACTAAGTGAGGCAAAGGTTAAAGAAGGTATTTTTGTTGGGCCACAGATTCGAAATATTTTGAAAGATACACAGTTTGAAAACACTTTAACAGGTATTGAAAAAACTGCTTGGAATGATTTCCGTCTGGTGGTCACTAATTTCTTGGGAAATAGAAAAGCTGACAACTATAAAACCCTTGTCAAAAATATGCTGTCATCGTATCAAAAGATGGGCTGTAATATGTCTCTTAAGATACATTTCCTACACTCACACCTGGACTTTTTTCCTGACAATTGCGGAGCCGTAAGTGATGAGTACGGCGAACGTTTTCATCAGGATATTTCAACAATGGAAAAAAGTACCATCTTGTTACTTTTTTTTAATATATCCTTAAAAATAAAAAGTTTTTTTCTAAACCGCAACTAATTTTTTTATTTCATTGTCATTTTTGGATTCAGCGCCCCAAAATTAACAAAGAAGTGCACTTTTCCCACAAGATACAATTAAAAAACTAAAATTTGTTGTGCAGTGTAATCAACCACAAGGTGTCAAAGATATAGTGGGATTGACAGATGAAACTATCGATTCACCTCTGCAGTATTTTCATGCATTATTCTCGGACGTAGTATATTATATGATTATTACCGAATCTAACAGGTATGCAGCGCAAAAAGGAGTTGGTTTGAATTTACAACGGGATGAGTTACAAGCGTTTTTTGGTATGCTACTGATATTGGGCTTCCATACCCTGTCAAGTCTAAGGTTGTACGGGTTAACAGATCAAAACTTCCATGTAAGCCGCATAAGTAACATGTCACAAAAGAGGTTTTTACATCTTCTTCGCTATTTTCACTTGAACGACAATGAAGTTATGCCACAGCGAGGATAAGAGAACTTTGACAAATTATATAAAATACGCCCACTTGTTGGCATATTGAACGAGCGATTTTCTACTCTTTATGCTCCTTACAGAGAACTCTCCATTGACGAAAGTATGGTTGGTTTCAAGGGTCGTACTACACTGGAACAGTATATGCCCATGGAAGCAGTAAAAAGAGGATTCAAAGTTTGGGTAATTGCTTGTTATCGGGCTGGTTACAACTTGGGTTTCAAGATTTATGAAGGCAAGGAGAAGGCAGGTATAAGCCTAGGAGAAAGAACAGTTCTTACAATCTCTGATAGATATAATGGTGAAGGTCGCTGTCTCTACTTCGACAACTTTTTCAATAGTTTTCCATTGCTGAAAATGCTTCTTGCAAAAAATACTTTTGCATGTGGCACACTAAGGAAAAATAAAAAAGTTTTTCCCAAAAAGTAAAATGAGGAACGATAAATCCTTGAAACGAGGAGAATCTGACTATTGCATGGCTGGTGATATTTCTGTATACAATAGGAAAGATCGAGGTGCCAAACCAGTCCTACTTGCTAGCAACTTTCACGATCCAAGGGAAGAAACAACTGTTCTTAGAACAAATGTCCAAGGGAATCGTGAAAAGTTATTTGTCCAAGTGCGGTATCAGATTATAATAAATATATGCTGGGTGTGGACAAGTTTGATCAGCTCATGTCTCCATATAATGTCTCTTGGAAAAGCAGGCGATGGTGGATGAAACTTTTTTACTTTGTTTTTGATGCCTCAGTTGTAAATAGCTATATTCTCTACTCATATACCAAAAAACAGACTAAGGAGAAACCTATATCTCAACCACAGTATAGGAGTATTTTAGCTAATCAGCTAATCGGTTCATTCTCTGGCAGAAAATCAATGGGTCCTCTACCACAAACAAACAGATCATCTTTCACCTCAGTTTTCCACCTCGTCCTAGGTCTGCCTCTCCTTTTCTTCCCTACTATTGAATGGGTAAGCATTGTCTTTGGTACTCTATGTTCTGCACGTGTCACAACCATCTCAACCTCTGAGCTCTTATGACCGCCGTTATGTTGAGCAAACAGTTCTTTCAACTCATCATTTGTTCTTCGGGTCCACGTACCATCATCTAACATTTTGCCACCAAAAATCTTCCTTAACAACTTCCGTTCCCATATCTCCAGCTTTGCTTGTTCTGCCTTTGTTATTGTCCATGTTTCACATGCATACGTGGCCACTGGCCTTATTAGCGTTTTGTGGAGTCTGATTTTAGCTCCCCTGGATATAATTTTGCTTTTTATTAGTCTTTTAAGCGCATATATGACACGATTTCCAGCCATCATTCTTTTTTGTATTTCCTCCCTGTTGCCCTGCTTTGATGTAAATACTGTGCCCAAGTAGTCAAACGTATATACTTTTTCAAACTTATAAACTTCTCCGTTTGTTGTGGTCATTATCAACTGCTGTCCTTTAACAAGTTCTTTGTCTGCCCATTCCATGTACTTTGTCTTTTCTACATTAATGTACAGTCCTTTGCTTCGTGCTTTTCTAGTCTCTTTACGGTGTTTATAAGTTCGACTTCACTTCTGGCCAGAATAACCAAGTCGTCAGCAAATGCTAGGCATTGATGCTTTCTGTGACATACTAAACCAGCCCTGTTTATGTTTGCTTTTTGTATAGTTTTCTCGAGCACAATGTTAAACTATATTTAACATGGCCGTAAAATAACCATTGAAAATACACGGCGAATGGTTAACGTTGGTCAACATTTGCCGGTTCCTGGTACAAAACGACGGTGTGTATTGTACCAGTAGTACGAAGAAAGGTGTTGAAGAGGACAAGAATTCAGAGGAGTGCAATGTTGGACTTTGCTTACAATGTTTTGAACCCTTCCATGTGAAAAAATAAAACTGTTCCTAATATATAAACGACTTATTTTACTGAAAAATATGGAGCGCTCAAATGCGCTCAAATTTTAAGTGCACCCTACATGTGAGGTAGTCACTATCAGGACCACCACTTGGCTGCCATTTTGGAAACTGTTATCAACAAAATCTTATATAAATAGCTGCTTTTGCCCCGGCTCACAAAAACTAAGGTATTTATTACCTTTGCTAATAAAGAATGAAGTCTTGCACTACGAGTATACAGGGTTAATTGCAGCGGCTCCAAATGAGGAATGCACTAAGTGAGAATTTGGTATGGAATAATGAAGCTTGGATTGTAGACGATTACTTAGTTGCCATTTATTCAATATTATAAATTTATTCATATATTTATTCTGCGCAAATATAACTCATATAATTGCAACATTTTTTAGTTTGGATTATGTTTTTATTTTAATATATTGACATATACCTCACGAAAGTTTATGTCATTCAAAATAGTAGAAAGCTTGTTAACCCGTATTTGCCGAATCCGTACCTTTCTGCTGTTGACAACATTGCACTAAATAATTTTCAGTACCAGTAACACAGCTTTACGAGGAACAGAAGCAAATTCATGATAGACATTTTTAGAAAACAAGGAAGACTCTTCTATAAACTTCGGTGGGCATCGAGCCCGCATCAGTGTTCTACGAGTAGATAAGGCACCCTCGCATACAACCCGCAACGTCTCGACCGGTGATGGCGCGACGGCTTCTTTCTATCTACATATAAATGATAGTGAATTGAAATCAAAGGGTAAAGGAATCGTGAACGAATATAAGGAAGCGGTTCCGAGGCCGGAATATCAACCGTGACCTAATCGAAAGAACTCCTGAATCGAAATTGCGAATTAACAGAATGAATGTCATGGCGGTCGCATACGACCAACTGTAAATAAACCCACCATGCCATGGCGGTCGTATGCGATCGCTCCACACTAGCCTCCAAAATTCATTTATGCTGTGCCAGCGGTCGTTGATAGGTATATAATTATTGTCAGAAGACCGCTGTGGCATCCACGCCTAGCTTAAGTTAGCGGTTTTCGGTGTATCTAACAAGGGAAAGTGAAAATAATGTTTGAAGTTTGAAGTTTTATTAAATATATACAGGGTGGCGCATTGAAAACGAAACAGACGCATTTACTGGCAGCTCAGTTTTTTTTTTTTTGAAAAACGCTCAGACCCGTCGATTTTGTTTTCGAGAGGGACACAAGTTTGGCAATACTGACTGATACCTTATTTTAAAGGTCTTTCAATTCCCTTTATAATGATGTAACATACATGAGCTTCAGTTCAGTAGTTTTGAAGATTTATTGATTTACAGCTTAAAGTAGACTTTAATAGGTACATCAGATTAGTTTGTACTACTTTCAGAAGAAATTTGACTAAAAGAATTTACTTAATAAGTAAATGCTTTTCTTCACTACTACGCCCAAAATAGCTATTGGAGCGTTTTTTTTTTGTGGCAAAAAAGTTATTTCTTGAAGAAAGATAAGGAAATATATCGTACTTATCTTAAATAGGAATTTAGTACATAGTTTGCGATTGATTTGACTAAACTTTGTTGCTAAAATAACTTGTTACGCTTTATCACGTAGATTAACTATGGTATATTCCACAGCAGAAAGAGTTGAAATTATCGAAATATTTTTAGGAAATAATCATTGCGCTAATAGAACAGCAGAAATATTTAATGAGCGACATGAGAACAGTAACGTGAATCGAAAATATGTTCTAGAACTTGTAGCTAAATTTCGGGAAACTGGATCAGTCGCCAATAAAAAACGCAACATTGAAAATCCCATAAGGAACGAAGCAATAGGGGTCGGGGTTTTAGGGCAAGTTTATGTAGATCCTAAGTTAAGTACCCGCAAATTGGAGACTGTGTGTGGTGTTAGTCGACGTACTGTTCAACGGATTCTAAAGGCCCATAGTTTTCATCCGTATATAATTCACCTGGTACAAGAACTTATGAAGGCGATTTTGATCGGCGATTACAATTTTGTGAAGATATTATGAGTGAACGAATTATAAACGATGAACATTTTCTATTCAACACTTTCTTTTCCGACGAGTGTTCCTTTTTCTTAAATGGCGTACTAATTCGTCATAACTGCCGATATTGGTCCGATTCTAATCCTAGAATTTATCATGAGGTTCATACACAGCAGCCACAAAAATTAAATGGTTGGGCTGGTACTTTTGGCGATCATTTAGTTGGTCATTTTTTCTTACCTGGAAATTTGACAGGTGAAATGTATTTGGAATTACTGGAAGACGCCATAGATCCTGCATTAACAGCCATAATTGAAAATCAGAATGATCGGCGGTACATTGCGAATAGGTTGATGTTCCAACAGGATGGTGCCCCACCACATTACACATTACGTGTTCGTCAATATTTAGATCAAACGTTTCCAGATCGATGGATTGGTAGAAGAGGTGCAATTGAATGGCCCTCAAGATTGCATGGAGAGTCATGGTGGCCATTTTCAACATTTACTTGCCTAACGGGTTAGTTCATTCTTCATTTTTAAATTACTTTGCTGCAAATGTATTGATCTCCACTAATGATGATGTATTAGTGTTATTTAAGCTTTGAATTAATAAATCTTCAAAACTACTGAACTAAAGTACATTATACATCATTATAAAGGGAATTGAAAGACCTTTAAAATAAGGTATCACTCGACCCCCCTTTCCAGTTAAGATTTTGGTGGTGGTGTCACCCCCGCTTAGGGGGCTGCACATGCTAACGTGATTTTTTGCCAAACTTGTGTCCCCTTCGAAAACAAAATCGAAGGGTCTGAGCGTTTTTCCAAAAAAAAAACTGAGCTGCCAGTAAATGCGTCTGTTTCGTTTTCGATGCGCCACCTTGTATATATATAAAACATATACAAGGTGGAACTCTGGGGAATTTAGTACAAAACAAGGCTATTATCTCATAACGCGACTGAATATTATTTTAAAAGTGTAGGTTGAAACAGTCTAACCAAAAGTGACGTTCACCTTCGCATGACGGTAACAACTTTTTTCACCCTACTCTTGCACTTTTTCAGCATAGCAGCCTATGCAGTATTTTTTCACTTCATCGATATAGAATGATCTCTTTTTGAGGCTACTGAGGTCTGCTGTGGTCGGAATTCCGGTAGATTGGTGTTATCGTAATTCAGAAGTGATAATAGTGTTAGTTGCTCCCGGAATCTCTGTTATTTTCGAAAAAAAAAGGCAAACTAACCTAATTGCAAAGCATTTTTATTTCATGTTCCTGACCCGAAGTTCAGAAGTTCAAACTCGCAAGAGATGACCGCTAAAAATACAAAGAAAATTAATTACTTAGTATAGCATCTGGTGCAAGCTTTATTTTTTTCAAGTTGGCACCAGAGACATTTACTACGATTTTTCATGGCAGTCAACCTGTTAATCGGAAGCCGTAAACGAAATCATGAATGGACCGAAGGAATAGATTCCAAGGCCGGAATCGAAATCGTGGATGAATAGCAGGATTTGATTCCGAGAACGACATTGGAAGCGCGAACGAATCTAACGAATCGAAGGAATCGATTCCGAGTCGGGAGTCAGAATCATGAATGAATTGAAGGAGGATGGAATCAAAATCGCAAAATAATCGAAAAATTCCATTCCGAGAGAGGAATCGGATTCTTGAAAGAATAAAAGAAATCGATTCCAAAGCCGGAAT